GATGAATGAACAATGGCTTATATAAGTTGATAACAGGCTAAAGCGTCATATATTTTTCTAGTTCTAATCCTCAAACTTTATCAATAGGATGTATCTTCTGAAATCATGCCGTTCCTGCTGAAATCTCAGTAAATGCGAATGTCACCTCTTTCGTCACGAAAGATTTTGGTTTCCTTTCTGGTTCTGAATTATTTCTTTGACAGTTTATTCCCATGTGAATCAATTAATTCTTCGATATCATCTGCATCAACTTCTACCTTAGTTGTTTCTGAGTTTATAAGCACCACATAAGGAAAACTGCCGTTAGGTGGCGTGTGAATAACACATGCGCGCTAAGGAAAGTATTTATATCTCGAAATTTTTCCATAACCCTTTCAGGAATATTCGTGTCTTCTGAAAGTCAGGGGTTGTCTGTAATCACAAATGAGGATTGCTGCCAGAAGCTGTTTCCATTTGAAAAAGGGCTTTAATCTGCAATAGATTAGATGAATGCTATTCCATTCTCCAGCATTTCCCGACGTTCTTCGGTCAGCATCATTCGGACAATTATTTGTCCTTTGAAACGCCGGCAGACAGCATATGCGATGTAAAGATTTCACCATGCTTTCACCGGTATTAACAAAGACGGTGGCTCTCCACGGTGGTTCATCGCGGCGTCCGATTTCGAGTTGCCCTTCTGTGTCAGTTCCTGCTGCCAAGGGGTGTTTCGTATCAATGACGATCCTCACGGTTGAGGAAAACACCCATCATTTAACTACGCAATGCCGCGTTATCCCTTCCTCTGCTCCTTGCCCACGCTGGCGACGTGGAAATGAGGTTGTCTTACTCTAAAGCACAAAAAGGAGGTGCAAATTTTCAACATTCTTTCGTCTAGTTTAAGAACGAAGCAAGAACACCAAATGTTTTATTTTATTGGCATGGAGGCATTTAATTTAATCCTTTGAAAGCGTGAAAACAAAATTTGGGCGATTACCCTCACTAACGTTAAAAGAAACTCATTTTTCTGTCGCTGATATAAAAGCACCCTTCCATAGTTCTGCGTATTCGCTGTTAAGGACAGATTTGACTCTGGCCGAAATTTCTTTCAGTTCTCTCTTCTTCAATAAATTTTTATTTCAACGATTCTAGACACTGCAAACAGACCGATTGTAGTCTATTGTTATTGCTGTTGACTTTTCAGTCAAATCACGGGTCCATTTTAGTTGAAAAAAAGAGAATCCGCGTATTTCATTGTGTCTAGAATCACTGAAGTGGCAAGTAATCAAAATATTTGATTTTCAGGCCAATCGCCATTCCATGCTTTTTTCTAAATCGCCTTCTTCTGGCAACGAATTTGAGAACCAAAATCCACAACGTTTCCTTCACCGAAGTTCATCGTCGAAGTTCAGGCGGTTTTGCTCTTGTTCAACAGAAAAATAGTACCACTGACCTTCGCACGTCCGAAGACAGATTGCACAGTAATTCTTAAGCTCCGACTCACTCCGAGGCCTACTGCAACAATTCGGTGTAAATTACTCAGGAACCGTTCGACCACTCGGTTGCATGGCATTTCCTGGTGTCTTTTCCGTTCGCCGCTGTTCCTCCTCACTACTTGTCACTTGTTCGTGTCCCGTGACAGTGGCGTCGTCGTCGTCGCCGTCGTCGACAGCGGTGGCGTCAGACCGGCCAACCATCTGACGACTGTCCCCGTCGGCGACGAAACAGGTAGTCGCCAAACGAGCGGAAATTACCGATGGACGGACAGGACACACTTGGCGGGCGACGCCTGTCGGTCGCAGGACACATGTCGACGTTGTTACTTGGCCATGTAAAAAAGGCTGTTCTACAGGCACGTGGTTTTCGTTGGCGTCATGCTCGAAGTTGCAGCCTCTTGTTCATCAATCACCGCTATTTTCTAGTCGTCGCCAACCGCCGAGGTAGTGGCAAGCTGGCGTTGAAGTTGTCGCAGCAATTATCAGCTGTGTTTTATTGGACGTGGCGTCACACGAAGTTATGCGATCAAGATTACGGTAATTAAGAAAAAACCTTACCACTGGTCACACGAACCATAAGTTACAGTAATCTTACAGAAATTACCGCTAGCGATGGAAATGTCTTCATTCGTTATTGGCGTTTAGAAGCTTTGGGGATCTTGTGTATCGTCTGCCCAGTTTTTCGAAATGAGTATTTATTTTGAACATTTTGTTGACTTTAATTTTTTTTGCTTCCCTGATTAAAAGCTATTGATTTTTTATTGACCCCCACAATATTGTCTGCTTTAACACGTTTATAATTTAAGTTATTGCGTTGATGTGACCGCGCTTCCTATGTACTGAGTCTCAGAGTCTCTAATTTTATCCAGTTATCTATGCCACTGGTGAATAGTATAACTGTTTCTCACAATACTCGACGAAGAAGGTGTCACTGCTTCTTTCTACATCGCTGAATTCTCAATCCAAGGAAGGATACAAGAGTAGCAATTCAATGAAACTAAGTTATTGAGTTTATTCAATAAAGCTTATCATCAGCCCTTTTCTTCCTACTGCCGGATGAAGGCCTCTCCAACACTTTGCCATAAACTGTTATCCGTGGTTCTTATCATAAGTGATCCAATGACCTTCTTCAGCTAATCCTGCTATCAATGTGGAAATCTCCTTAAGAACCGCTTATATTCTCGTGGAATCCAGCCTCATTTAAATTTTGTTCAACGATGGCCGGTTCTTCTTGCAACGTACCCTGTCCGTCGCAATTTCAGACTCTCCAATGATACGGTCGACTCTGGTTTGACCCTAAAACTTATAGTAGCAGATTACCATTTATCGAAATTGCCGTTAATATGAACACGATTGAATATTAGGAATAGTGTCATATCCTTTGACGGTCTTGCGATCGTAACGTATGAGGTAGGTTATAGATCAAGTTATGCTGGTTGACCATCTTTCATACGTTATTAGTCTTCAATACCGTATGCAAAAACTAGTCACAATAAAAGGCTGTGCACATTCATGCGCCGCTTCTGTAATATCGCCTGCAGAGGCGGTGCTTATCATTGCTGAGAACAGAAAACTAAAAGCGATGAAAATGAAGATGTTACGGACAATATGAGGAGCAAATTGGCATCATACAGCGTCAAATGATGTAGCTAGAGAAAGCATAGGATATGAAGCTCCAGTGATAGACTGACTGTAGACAAGATAGCAGAGTCCTGGCAGCGAATAGACGGTAGTCGGTCGGTTTCTGGAAGAGAATTCAGGGCATAAAACCTCTGGGCAGACGGCGTCTAGGAAAACCTCAAACAAGAAGGCAAGATCTCAGCAGGAGTGATGTG